TTTAAATGATCAGCTGTATTTGTGTGTTTGGTCAGAGTGAAGCGTGGGAAAGAATTACTAACTCGGTATCTGCTCTAGCAGTGTTTGGAAGTAATCAATCATGCACATTTAACGCAGAGCAGTGCATTGGTTAGTGCAGTCACTTCACAGAAAACAAGTCCTCTGTTTGAATCCAGTGTGTGTGAAGTTTGCATGTTCTCCTCGTGTCTGCGTAGGTTCCCGTAAGTTCAACTTCCTGCCACAATCCAAAAGTATGCATGTGGTTAATCTTAATTGTCCTTTCTTAACTGGTTATATCTGTGAATATCCATGTGAATGGTTGTCTGTCTCTGTGTGTCAGCCCTGTGACAGAGTGGTGACCTGTCCAGGATGTACCCTGTATGGATGGATAGATGGCTGGCCATCATGCACCTTTTCTATATATATTTCAAGTATATGCAAGAGTGAATATGTTCATTTCTTATAAAAGATATCCCTTAGTCTGTTCTACCATTCTTACTCCTCAGATGACCTTAAGCAATATTCACTGTCACATGATTTTTCCTCAAAATGAAACTTGGACCAAGGCAAGGAGTCAGTATAAAGTCAGCTACTTTTGATTTGACCTTTTGAGGAAAGCCCGTTAATTCCTATGATCACAGCATGATTAGACTTTTAACTGGACTACAAAACGAGGGCTATGACATTCAACCATCTCCCTTTATGACTTGCTGTTATCCAGTTTGAGCTATATAAAAGAAATAGAGTAAAGTACTTGGTCAAACATGATTCACTCTCTACTAAAAGGCCTGGAATTGTCTAGAAAGCTTCCTTTTCTCGTAATCCTCTTTTGACCCCGTCAGCAAAAGTAAATGAGGCAGGCAGAGGGGAGCTAACAAAGAAAAGCAAAAAGCTGTAGTTTTTAGACCGTGTTATAACCAAGGCAGCAGCTGACACAATGTGAAGCAATTCACAATTAATTATGTTGACACAACAAATTAGTATAGATTTACCATGAGGCTAAACATTTATTTTTTTTATCTGTAAAAATATAGTCTTCTCTCATCACAGTTTAAAACCTCTCAGCAGGCTTTCAGTTGCATAGTTTCAAGTTAAGAAATGTCTTTATATTTAATATGTCCACATTAAAAGACTAGACTTAGTTGCTTTTTGTGGCTGCCTTTTTTGTGGGTGTTGTGATTGCAATTTTCACTCAGTGTTTCATTTGTCTTTTCACATTTCCTGTCCTTTTCCTTGCCTCTTCTTCCTTCAACATCCTTTATCTCCAGAATATGAGATTGTATCTCCATATGAGGTCGACCACCAAGGCGTTTACGTCTCTCATGAAATTGCCCACCACCAGCGCAAAAGGCGGCGCAGATCCCTCGTTTCAGACGCGGACTCATCTGCCGCTGAAAGCATCAGCGAAACAGTCCACTTCCGACTCCGAGGCTTGGGGCAGGACTTCCACATGGAGCTGAGGGACGCCTCGGAAAGCCTGATTGCACCTGGCTTCACCATCCAGGTCCTGGGAAAGAATGGCACCAAGAGCCTGAGGGCCTACCATCAGGATGACCTCTGCTTTTACCAAGGGTCACTGAGGTCAAGGGTCAACTCCTCTGTGGCACTATCCACATGCATGGGGATGGTGAGTCAAAAGAAAGATGGGCTGCAGGATGGGTTCTGAAGATAAGAAAGGAAAGTCAGTAAATAATTCAGATAGAGGGTGTGTTTGCATCTGTATCCGTCAAAAATACTTTACGGTAAATTTATCATAAGTGCATCTCAGGGACATTTTTATATTGCTTAAGTTTTGGCAGCATGTAGGTTTAGCAGTGAGTTCTCTAATTGCACTCAATGACCGAGAAAACAAAACGAGCTTGGGAGCCAAAGAAATTTGGCTCGTCCTGGGACCGCTGATACTATAAACACTGAGTGTCAGAGTTCTTGTCATGGCAAAACCGGGGAGGCAGAAAGAGAGAGGTTATTGAACTTTTTTGGATTTCAACACAAAGTTTGGAATATAGTAACTTAACACCCCGAGACAAAAGACAGACAGTAAATTCAATTTAATTGCAATTCTTTCATTGTGAGACGCTGTACTTTTTGATGAAACATTATGACTCTCGACAGTATGCTTCTATGGCTGTCTTTCACACAGTTCTTGAGTCAGTCCATTGTCTGTCTGGTGTGCAGAGAAAATTGACTTAAATTGACTTAAAAACCCACCGAATAAGTTGGCAAAACATACACAGGAGGTTCTCGTTCCAGCGTGTCATGCATTATTAGTTGTAAGTCGGCTAATGAATAACTAATGGATGGAAAAGCTAAGCTTCATGTTCACATCATGTTTGCTACAAGCCAGGAAAATTCTAAAAATACACATGAGCCAAATATGCCATGACAATGTTTTGATGGTACTTTATCTTTACATTTAGCACATGGCCATCACATGGCGTTTACTACACGGATATAAAAATATTTTTAATATTCCTTCAACAACGAGAAGCACCTTTGCATCATCTTGAAGGCCGCAACGTTTGCAGCTGTCACTGCTTCAAGAGGATTGAAATGGGTGCAAATCCAATCCAGGTGAAATTAAACTCTGAGCACTCTAAAAGCTACACAGACAGTAAGCGGATATCCACATGCAAACTTGAGCAGATTTATTGGTGTTTAAATGATCAGCTGTATTTGTGTGTTTGGTCAGAGTGAAGCGTGGGAAAGAATTACTAACTCGGTATCTGCTCTAGCAGTGTTTGGAAGTAATTTTATTTTTCTTTCTACTCGTTAATGTGTAATAAGTCCATCTTTTTTTTAGGCATAAAAGTCATTATTATGCAGTTTGGGCTAAAAATGCTGACTGAATCAATCTGAATTAAATCCTCTGGACTAGTTTACGTTCTGTTTAGATTTACTGGCTAAATTCCAGTTGTCGCCCTGGTGGTCCTCCTGTGCTGCATGAACATAAAGAAGAAATTACTGTAATAAGCTCAAGTGAGGTAGTGCCACGCTAAGACCCCAAGTGTTATATTAACCCTCTTAGCAGTCTGGACTAGAGAACAAAGGACTTAATTAATACAAAAACTTACCTACACACTTATTCGTTTTGAAGTCAGCATGTTCTTTACGCTGGCTGCCAGTAGAGTTTAAAATGACCGTACGTACACACACAGAGCACTAAATCACCAGGCTCGAGATTATTTCTTACAAAATACTCTGCTGCTTGCAGTCTTCGTTCGCAGGCTCAGCATGTGTTAGTTGTTTCACACATTTGACTGAAGACTAGTGGAGACAGAGCCTTTCAGCCTGTGGCACTTGTGGCACAAGGCATCGGAACGGTCTACCACTACAGCTATGTTTAGTTGACTCAAACCTTTTTTGTTCAAACAGACTTTCTGTTGAGAATTTTATTGATTTGTTTGGTCTTATTGTGTCTTTTTATTTACTATTATGCCACTTAATTTCATTATACATTCTACTCTTTTTCTGTTGTACAGCTGAAGCTTGGTAAAAAGAAGAGAAGTTCTTAAGTGTTCCTCATTTTGTTCTTCATCATCAGTGGAATGCTTCATTTGTCAGTTGACATCCATTAGTGAATGCATTCAGGCCAGTGGGATATAAGCTTTCATCTGAAAAAAGAAATATTGTTTGAACTTGTTTCTTTTCACAGTTTTACCAAAAGCAAATTCCCCTAAAAACCAGTTTGACCACATTTCACTTAAGCATGGCTTTTAGTGTTTTTAATTAGGCTAAAATAAATTCCATGTTGGTTTGCTGTTTATATTTCATTGTAGGGGACCACTGCTGTGTCTGAGAATTGCCCTCTAAAACTACAGGCAGAGAATGGCACATCTCCACGGATGCTTCTCTTCTTCTGTGTGTGTGTGTGTGTGTGTGTCTACATTTCAGAGCAGATCCCAATAAAAGATCCAGCCAAAAGGTCCAGGGTTGCAGAGACTGTAAATGTTGTTCTCACGGCTGAGGCGGGCTAGCACAGACTGGGTCAGGGCATCATTGGGAATTTGGCTTTTTCTGATGTGAAGTTGGAAAGTGCAAAGCAATATCAGCAGGCAAAGGTATTTAGATTCTAGGGAAAAGATCAAGCTGGTTACTGATTTTCAAAATAAGGGAAGAATGCATTTTATTAAGCGCTAAACTGCATATAAGAATTTTTCAGCATACGTTTTAATATTTAACTTCATCACTGTCACACAGTCAGTGTTGATACATAAGATGAGTTTTTGCACTAAAGACCTACATACCTATAGGGTTAAACTGGCTGTGCATAGTGCCAGTCTTCTAGGGACTTAAGCCATTTACATTGTTACGTTGTGGTGTCAACGTATATGATACCTCAACAGATTTTAATATGAAGATGTTTCGATTGATTTAACGTTAATATATGCTTTGGTTAAGGTTCAAAATTCTTGGACAAGTGTTTAAGTCCAGCCAGTTAATGTAGGTGTGTGTGCGTGCTGCAGATGTTGCATACAACTGGTCAAAACGTCATAACAGAGTTCACTGGACTACTTGAAAGCATATGGGAGACCTTGTACTTTGGCCAGTTTGCTTTAGCAAGGAACAGGTAAATATTGACCGGAGCAGCACTGCACCTGGACTCCAAATGTGCAGTGATACAACTTAGATTAGACTCTTTCATCACATTTGTTTGCGCTGTCATTCTTTTAAAAATAAAAAATAAAAAAAAATGAACACCATCCATCTGTGTTTAGAGTAAGCTGCAGGGTTAGGGTTTCTCACACTGGCTGATCGACGCCAACAGAAGGATAATGAAAGATCAGAGTGAAAAGGAGTGACATTGACGAAGAATATAAGGGTCGTTGCTCCCTCCCTGGAAGTTTGAAGTGCTAAAATTCTTCTTGCAGGGAGTGTAACATTGTTAAAACCTATTTATAATTTGCCTTTTCAACTCTCATCTTCTGGCAGCCCATGCAGTTGATGACAGGAGGGTGATCAGCCGTAAAAATCTCTGACTTACAAGCAATGAATTGATGGAATAAAAGTTTCAGGCCAATCCCACTGATCACCTGCCAAAGGGTTTCATACACCAGCGCACACACATGGAACAGCCCATCATAAAACAGTTCCTTCTCTGTGTCGACTTTATGCTGCAGCATGATATGCTTTAGTCCTGCTTTTATGGGTATGAGGCTATTGAGGATAGATATGCAGAAATTGTTCCAATCTGGTAACTTTTTTTTCGTCCCTATGCCTACATATGGCATCTTGTGCAATTTTTGGTCCAAACAAAGGGGAAAAAAGATGTTATTCCTGAGATCTTGAAACAGAAGACAACTGGAGTTCTTTAGGTTTATGGTGACATTTCACTTCTCATCCAAGGCTTCACAGGGATTTCATCCTTAACCCACAGGTGATGGTAATGACCCATGCCTTATTTCACACCTTGAGATGACTCACATGATCAATAGTAGGTCAGTGACCTCAAGACCACTTCCAAAGGGGACAACCCCTTACTAGGGGTAAATAGCCGTTTTAGTTTTGTAAAAGCATCCTGGATAAGAGGTGAAACATCTTCATACACCTAAAGAACTCCAGTTGCCTTCTTTTTCAAGCTTTGTTGTTTTTTCAGTGACTACCGTGACCAGGATGACTAAAAACCTACTCAGACACAAGATGTTTAGCATGCTAGCATGCCGAACTAATATGTTGAACATCGTTATTGTCATCCAGCCTACCTAACAGCAGCTAGTTGACACTGTGAACTCACCAGCATGGTGGCAAAACGTAAAAGAATGTTGTACCTGTAAGCCTCACAGAGCTGCAAGCATGAATCTTATCTGTAAATATGTTGACTTTGAGACTTGGCTGTCTGCAAACCCCATGCTGGAACCTGCTAGCTTAAATTATTGAGTTATTATGACTCAATTTCTCAAATATTTTTTCTGTATACAGCATAGCAGCAGCACTGTACTACCAAAGTAATGACTTGGTCTTATTGTGCCTTTTTTGTATGCTATTTAATGTCCTGCTAATTTGCATCCATGAACATTACATAAAGGTATGCATAATAACCTTTTTTTCAACTAGTAACTACTAAGAAGCAACTGCTTACTCTCTATACAGTATGTCCTTTTTTCACATCTGTACTTTAGCCCCGTGCTTCACCTACATCTGTATCAGTTTGGCTAATTTTACTCAGACTTGTAAAGCACACCTTCCTTTTGTATCAAAGGGAAATTCTTAATGTCCTGCCACTACAAATCACTTGGAAGGTATGTGTTTTCCACTTGTAAAAGGATGGGTGTGTTTCTTGCCTTGGGGCATGCAGTCATGGTAATAATAGAATGCTGCACATTTCTTCCACCTCTGGGATTTCCAAGCGAATATGAGGGATGGGTCTACTGATGTTAGTGAAGCTTTGAAAAGCACATAGTGTGGTCTTGGCAGGTTGCTATCACCATTTCTCAGTAGATACTGTGCACCCAATGATGTGAGAACAGTTTTATCAAGGCTTCATCATTCATGGTTTCCTCCACCATACCACGGAGATTAAGTAATGAGGACCACCAGTTTGTGTAATCCGTGCTGGATATTTTGGATACAGTGGGAATCTCTAATTCGTAAAGAAATGCGCATTAAACTAAAATATGACCCGAGAGAGCA